CCTGGCGCGCCCCCGGCGGTCGGGGCCGCAGCGTGCTCGCCCCCGCCGTCAGCTCGCCTCACTTATGGGTCGGAAACGTTGCGTGGGGGAGACTGTTCCAAGATGGCGGCGGGTTGCTGCGGGGTGAAGAAGCAGAAACTGTCCAGTTCGCCCCCCTCTGGCTCCGGTGGCGGTGGTGGCGCCTCCTCCTCCTCCCACTGCAGCGGAGAGAGCCAGTGCCGAGCTGGGGAGCTGGGACTAGGAGGCGCCGGTACGCGGCTCAACGGGCTGGGAGGTCTAACCGGAGGAGGTAGCGGCAGCGGCTGTACCCTCTCTCCCCCCCAGGGCTGCGGCGGCGGCGGCGGGGGGATCTCCCTGTCGCCACCTCCAAGCTGCGGAGTGGGGACCCTACTTTCTACCCCGGCCGCCGCCACCTCTTCCTCGCCCTCCTTATCGTCCGTCGCCTCGTCCTCATCACCGGGCTCCCGGAAGATGGTGGTGTCAGCAGAGATGTGCTGCTTTTGCTTCGATGTGCTGTACTGTCACCTGTACGGATACCAGCAGCCCCGGACCCCCCGGTTCACCAACGAGCCCTAGTGAGTACCGTGCCCTCCGCCGCCCTCTCCCTTGCGCTCGGGATGGGGCTCAGAGTTGAGGGAAAGTGCGAGTCCGCCTCCCGCTGCCGGCTGCCCCTACCCTTCCAGCTGCCCGGTGCCCGGAGCCCGGAGCCCGGAGCCGCTCGACCTAAGTAAGGGCACCCTGGGCTTTCTCCCCTCTGGGCTTTCTCCCCGCCAAGGCAGGTACCCCACACTTGGAGCAGGGTGCTGCTGCAAGGGATGGCCCCGTGGTTCCCAGAAGTGTTCACTTTCTCTTTGCGGTAACTTCGAGGAGGAGTTTTGACCCTTTCCTTCTCTACTTAGCCACCCCTTACCCCCCGACAGCCGCCCGGGTTTTGGAGATACGGATTACTCAAGGTATTGACCTCTCCTCACTTTGGTTTCCGTTTACTCAACTGAAAGCCCCGCCAGTACTCCTGCCCCGAGTACCTTGCACTTGGAAAGCTACTATCCCATTGCAGGGTGAAAAATAGTAACTACCCAACTTCTGTTCTGCTAGTGATGGAACTTAGCTCCGGAGCTTGTGAGGTTTTACCCATCATTTTCCTCCGAGTTTCCTTGTGCCCTGGGAAGCGGGGAGGCTTTTAAAAACACATTTTCCCTTACTACCTATTTTTATCTGAGCTTACCCATTAAAATGTGTTTCTAGTGAAGCCAGCGCACCGCCGGCTTCCTCACATTTGAAGAGTGAGACCTTTTTTTCATTCCACCGTCTCTCGGTAATAGCTCATTCAAAGAGAACTGTCCCCATAGAGCCACTGTTAGTTGGAACGTTAAACGTGCGTTCGCTTTTATGTCGATTTCACTTTTAGGAAATCTGTGTTATACTCGACGATTTAAAAAATAGTAAAGCAATCCAACAGTAAATGTGTAGGAATTTTTATAGTTTCCTTTGGCTTTGTACTTTCCTTATAATTATTATACCCTTCAAGTGTGTGATAGAACTTGTTTAAAATAGCACTGTTACAGCTGAAAGCCAGGTTAATTGTAATCCCTGTCCATTTGGATGTGTGGGAGATGGGGCATATGTTTTTTTTTTAATGTGTAAACTGAGTGTAAACTGACTTTTTGAGTTAAATGCTACACAGAATGTAAAGACCAAGAGAGGGCAGACTGAGAAAGGGAACATTGTTTATGAGTACTTAGCATCAACAAGAAAAATAATACAGAAAATTTTCAATGAAACTAGTACTGAAGGGCATCAGCCCTTTTTCTGGCTAAGACAAGTGCCCCTTGTCCTCCATATCATAAGCACCTGAATTGATGTTCTTTTAAACTGTTTCTTTTCATTTTGCAAGACTGGAGGACTGGACTACTCCTGCATAAGTATAAACACTTCTGCGCAGACTAAAAATATTCAATTAATATGTAAAGTGGAAATTATAATAAAGTGTCCTGGAAATTGTGTATTTGTATTGTTTGTTTTCTTTGGCTTTGGTACTTCAAATGTTTTTAACTTGGTGCGACTCTTCTGTGGTCTGTGCATTTTCTTTTAGACTTGGTTCATCTTTGGGCATTGGCTCATGAGAAATGCATGAAAAGGCATGCAGGCAGGTAGTTTGTCAAATAAATTAAATATTTTTATAAATTTCACAGTGATAATTCTAGAAGCTTACATCCTAAGTCCACACCTTTGCTTAGCCAATTTATTCTTTTGGTTAAGAAGTAAAATTCATTTTGAAAAGACTGCCATGTTAAAAAAAATCTATGAAATATTTATTGTCTAGAGTCACTTATTTGTGACTTTTCTGCCTTTTTCTTGGATGTCTGTGATATATTGAAGTTAGTCCTGGGATGATACTTATCTTGGCTCTGCAAAGTCATGGGACTGCAAAAATTCACTCCTGTTTAGTTCTTGAGTTGTTACATGCGTTTGGCAAAGGCTGTTTTAGTATTCACGCTCCATTACTCCAAAGCATATGAGAACACACTTTCAGGAGGTGCTATTTTCACACATTTTAAAGTGAGTTTGGGTTAACTCAATGACTATACCAAGAATTTTAAAAGGAAAGTAGGTTTGACCAGTTCATACAGAAAATGCTTTTGAAAACATCATTTTAAAGTATTTCACTTTGCCCATGTATTTAGGTATTGTTCTCTAATACCCCAGGTGCTGGATTTCTTTTTCATGGAATCAAACAGATAAATGGAGACACATTGTTCACTACTGTGGGTATTTTTGAAATAGTGGTGGGAGAATAACACTGTCACTTAGGAGGACTTGAATCTATCACATAGTACTCTATGAAACAACCAGAGTAGATACAATGTGACCAAGTGGGGAGTGAGAGTTCACTTACGTCAAAAGAGGACTGTGTCTTATTTTCCTTTATCTTGAATTCATTTTTGAGGTGTACTCTGGAAAATTCAGGAAAATTTATTGATTATGGGAGAGAAATAGCTGTAATCATTTGATGGTGCCTTAGTAAGCACAACACATTTTTGTTTGACATATTTAACAGGAATGTGTACTTAGGATATTAGTGTGGCTTTATTCTAGGAACCATGAGACATAAATAGACACACTGGGATTTTTTCCTTCAGAGTTATTAGTATCTTGCAATGAGCAGTGTGTTTCAGGTCCTGTCCTTGTCCCTCAGAAGATGTGCTTTTGACAGTTTCACATTTTTATATGTGAAAAGCACAGTTTTCATCCCTTCCCAGGACCTTTCTCTTAGAATGGCTGTAACAGGTGAAATCTGCTTTTTATAGCTTAAGAAGTTATGGACCCATCAGTTACACTTCCACTCTGAAAGGTTATTAGAAATTTCTAGTGATCTATGTGCTTCAGGGTTGGGGTAATGTCAAGGTATGAACGGGCTGTGTGAACACAGATTCTTCACCGTTGCTGCTTTTTGAGTGCCTACCCCATTGCAGATTAGCATGGTACAGGCAGGTTTGCCTACAGAAATATGGTCCCAGATAGAAGAAAAACATAACCTTAGGTGTATTTTACTATTCCACATCAGAACTCTTGGATTTATGTGCCAGGGAGAGCTCAGAGAGCCATTTTATAGGAACCTGTTTGCTACTCTAAAGGAAGCCACTGTGCCAGGTGTTGAGCCAGTTAGACTACAGAATTGTCGTTCTCAATCGTGGCTGCTTGGATGCCTGAGTCCCAGCTCCCAGAGATTCTGATTTAATTTGTCCAGGATGGGGGCCTGAGAATCACGATTAATAAAAGCTCCCCAGGTGATTTTTAATGTGCAGCCGGAGTGGCAAACCACCAGTTACAGTCTACGTATTTCTTTTGAGATTTGGATTAATTTGGTATGGGGCGGTGCTTTGGAATCCGTAGCGTTTGAGCACCGTGGGTAATGTCAATAAGCAACCGATTTGGGAAACACTTGCAGTGTGGTCTGCAGAAGACATCGCCTGGGAGCTTGTTGGAAACGTAGGCTCCCAGGCCCCACCTCAGACCTGCTGAATTAGAATCTGCATTTTAACCAGCTCCGCAGGTGATTTTTATGCACATTACAGTTTGTGGAGGACTGGTTCTCAAACTTTACCTCATAATCTCCTGTAGTGCTTGTTAAAACACAAATTGCTGGGCCTCTTTCCCAGAGTTTCTGTTTCAGTCGACGTGGGGTGGGGCTGTGAATTTGCATTGCTAACAAGTTCCTTGGTGATGCTGATGCTACAGTTCCCAGGACCACACGTTAGACAGCCACTGGGTTGGAGAGAAGTGAGGACCTGAATAGGTACTTGAGCAACTGTAAGGGAATGGCTGTTTTTGCTGCCAGTTTCCAGTCTGAAACTTCCTGCTTCTATGTCCCAATCCTTTATCATAGTCATTCTAATTTAGCAGTGGGGAGACTGAGTACTGCCAGAGCATAAGTCTGAGGTTGAGGTGAGGGGTGGAAACGTATGGCATGATTTTTCTTAGATCCTTTTCCAGAAATTGTTAAATGTAAGGGGGTACATTTTAGGACTTAAAAGTAGCACGAATGTGATGTCTCAAAGGGAATTATATTGATCGTAATAAGTAAAGCCCCCTTTTGTTCCCATTAAATGCTTTTATGATTAGCTCACTAAATAATGTGAAAAGATTTTAAAAGCTTTTATTTATGCTTATGCTTGCTGGGTTTCATTTTAAGAATTTCCCTTATTAACAGAGAAATATAAAAGGATCCTACTAAGGCACTGGCCTTATTTAGTCTTATATCTTTAATGCTGTGTTACATGTCATGTCCCACAAACCTTTTCATTTTAATCATCTCACCACCTTTGAAGTTAATGTAATACTACATTCTGTACAGACCATGGCATGTAACAGATTCTACTATTACACATCAAGAAGCGTGGTTTTCTATTGCGATGAATAAAATGTATTTTTAGTCTACTCCTGGATGTGCAGATTTTGAAGATTCCAATCAGGTGTTTACAGTTAACTCTTCATCATCTGGCCAGCCAATTGCTGGTTTTCGGCATACTTGGGAGGAGTTGGGTTGTGTTAGGGGAATAGGCATTTTGTTTCACCGGAACAGCAGCAATCCTATTGCACTGTCGAAAAGATGATTTGATAATGGAGCTCAGGTTAAGGTGATATTAAAGCAACATTTTAAATACCAGCTATTATATATATATCTATTATGTCGTTTTTGATGAAGACTGACCAGAATAGTCAGAAGATGCATTTGTTTATTGCAGATGATGCGACTAGGCTGAGATGGATTTCCTCATGCACAGTAACAGAATGTTCCCTTCCCTGGTTACTACAGTTACTATAGTTTTTCTTTTCTTCTTTTCTTTTCTTTTCTTTTTTTATTTTAGTTTTTAGCTAGGGCTGGGTTTGAACCCACCACCTCCACTGTATGGGGCCGGTGCCCTACTCACTGAGCCACAGGCAGCGCCCCATAGTTTTTCTTAAGAAAAAACATTGTCTCAGAAATTGTTGAGCCTTTTCCAAGTGTAATACAGTTGTTTTTCAATAATGTTCATTCCCACCATAGGACAATCTGATATCCTATTTTACTGCT